CACACACACACCGGTCGCGCGCGTGCACGCGCAGGTCGCACATGGCCGCGCACGTGGGCGCGCCCCGGGGGCGCGGGGGCGTGTGCGGGAGCGAGCACAGACCTTCCCATCCCTCCCCCAGCAGGAGCGGGAGCAGACGGGGCCAGGGCACCCACAGCAGCACCCACAGGCCTGACAACTCCCAGGACCCTATTGCAGACACAACCCATTGCAACCCCCTACCCRCTGCACCCACGGACCCACAGTGTCCCCAGACCCACAGCACCCCCTGACCCACAGCACCCCTGTACCCATTGCACACCCCTACCCACAGCACCCCCAGACCCACACTGCCCTCAGACCCGCTGCACCTAGGACCTTACTGCACCCATTGCATTCAGGACCCTATTGCCCCCACAAACCCACCTCCAGATCCACTGCACCCCTGTACCCATTGCATGCCCCTACCCACAACACCTCCAGTGCCCTCAGACCCACCACACCTAGGACCCCACTGCGCCCATGATCCCGTCGGACCCAGGACCCTATTGCACCCATGGTCCCATTGCACCTCTGGGCCCATATTCCCACAGCACCCACGACCCCACTACAGTCCAGTCCCATTCATCCAGGACCCCATGGGTCCAAGGACCCCGCGGCACCCTGTGCCCCGCTGCAGCCCTGGTGCCGCTGCAGCCCGTCCCGGTGCCCCCCTGGACACGCTGGCCGCAGCCAGTGCTGGTGGCGGGGGGGTGCGGGTGCCCCGGGCCAAGGGGCCCCTGCGGGGCTGGGCCGGGTAATCCGGCGGCGCGGGTGGCATAAAAGGCGTCCGGACGGGTGGCGGGTGGCAGGACGGGACGATGCTGCTGGCTCTGGCACTGCTGCAGGGCCTGGCCCCCGCGCTGGCCGCCGCCGGTAAGTGCCACCTGCCACGCTCRTCCCCGTGTCCCCAGTTGCCCCCCAGCACCCTGGGTGCTGTCACAGCTGTGGGGCAGCCAAACCCYGCTGTAGGTGCCCAGACAGGGGTGGGCATGGCCAGGGACACCCATGGGTGGCCTCGGTGGCACCCCTGGAGCGGCACACCCGTCACCRATGCCGCTGCCGCTCCACAGGGTGGCACTGGACGTACGACGGTGAGCAGGGACGGACCCCCCCACAGGGCACCCGCGACCCTCCTCCGGCTCCAACCACCAGGGACGARGGGGCCCAGGCGTTCGGCTCAGCCCCCCACCTGCTGCGGCGCCAAGGGGGGCTCCCGGACTCCTGGGCCCCACGTGGCTCCTGGCAGGCACCAATGGGTCCTTTGTGCTGCCCTTACATAAGCCAGGGCGCTGAGGGCAGCCAGGGCCCCCCCGGATCTCCCCTTGGTGCTGGGTGGCAGCCAGAGCTGCGGCCCTGCGTCACCCCGGACAGGTCCCCGAGGGAACGGCGGCTACAGGGAGGGCTGTAACAGGAGCGAGGGCCTGGAATGATGCACTGGGGAGCGCAAGTGGGACAGAAAGCGGGGAGAAGGGGAGTGATGGTGAGGGTGATGCATGGGATGCAGTGGTGGGGGCAAGGGCAACGCTGGCAAAAAGGCAACTCTTGGGAAAACACATTTGTGGGATAACACAAATCTGGGGATAACGCAACGCGGGGTGAGCCGAGGGCGCTGTGGTGGGAAGGAGGGCTGGGCTGGGCAGGGAGGAGATGGGAGGGGGCTCCCCTTGCTGCCCGGACGCCTGGGCCCTGCCTCAGCGCCGCCCCCCAGGCCCGCACGGGCAGGAGCGGTGGGCCGAGGGCTTCCCGGCRTGCGGGGGCCGTGCGCAGTCGCCCATCGACATCGAGACACGGTGGGCGCAGCCGGAGCCGGCGCTGCCGCCGCTGCAGCCRTACGGCGCCGCCGCCGGCACCTGGGAACTCACCAACAACGGGCACACGGGTGAGCGGGCGGCAGGGGCCCCGCGTCCCCCCGGCGTCCCTGGCGCCCCGGCTCACCCGTGGCCCCGCAGTGGTGCTGGCGCTGCCGCGGGCGCTGACACTGCACGGGCTGCCGGGCGCTTTCGCCACCGCGCAGCTGCACCTGCACTGGGGCGGCTCCGAGCACCTCGTGGACGGGCGCGCGGCCGCCGGAGAGGTGAGCGGCGCTGGTGCCAGCCCCGCCGCCGGCCCCGCGCGGGGAACACGGGGCACCCAGCGCGCGCCCTGCCCCGCAGCTGCACGTGGTGCTCTTCGACGCGGCGCGCTTCGGCGGCACCAGCGACGCGCTGGGCCACGCGGGCGGCCTGGCCGTGCTCGCCGCGCTGCTCGAGGTGAGCGCAGCCCTGGGGACACGCGACGGGGACAGGACGCAGCCCTGAGCCCCACTGCGTGCCCGCAGCCCGGCCCGGAGCCCAACGCCGCCTATGACAACATCCTGCGGCACCTGGGCAGCGTGCGCTACGCAGGTGGGCGCACAAGCGAGCGGCGGCACCGGGGAGAGAGCAGCGAGCGGGCAGGGGCTGGGAGAGCGACTGCGCGAGCAAGTGGGTAGCGCCTAAGTGACAGCGGCGGTGCGCGGGAGTGGGCATGGCCTGGCAGAAAGCAACTGTGTGAGCGAGCGGGCACTGCCCAGGGGATAGCGAGTGTGCAAGCAAGGGGGTAGTGCCTGGGAGAGGGCGGCTGTGTGAGCAAGCAGGTAGTTCCCAGAAGGGAGCGGCTGGGCGAGCAAGCGGGCAGCACGCGGGGGGCGGCGGGGCCGGCGCGGCGCACAGGGCAGCCGGGCTCGCCGCCCACGCTGCTGCGGCCCCAGGACAGAGCACATCCATCCCGGCCTTCGACGTGCGGCAGCTGCTGCCAGCGCGCCTGGACCTCTACTACCGCTACAACGGGTCGCTCACGACGCCGCCCTGCTCGCAGGGCGTCATCTGGAGCGTCTTCCAGGAGCCCGTGCGCGTGGGCAGCGCGCAGGTAGGGCCGCTCTCGCTGCCTGCCGGTGCGGACGGAGGCCCCCGGGACCCCGCGGGCGCCCGCAGCCTCCGTCCCGGCAGCTGGCGCAGCTGCAGAGCGCCGTGCTGGCCACGGAGGCGGCGCAGCCAGCGCCGCAGCCCCTGGCGCGCAACGTGCGGG